CCGCCAGGATGGCGGGCCGCCCCGTCCCGCTAAAGGGCGGGCTACGGGCCAGCCCGCTTTGTCGGCCCGTTTTGACAGCTCTAGATAATAGATTTATAGTAGTAATTAAACTTTTATTTATTACGATAGAGGGATGTGATTTTTTGACTCGTGGGATGAAATTTTATAAATTGGGTTATGAGTTTGTTAAACTCATCCATATCTATGCGATAGAGTTTTTTTAAGCTGGTATATAGATTTAAAATTATATAAAAAACAAAAAAAAACTTTTATAAATCATTTGATTTAGTATTTTCGGAGAGCTTCATTAATTTAAAAGTGTAAAATAAATAAATAAAAAAAGTACAACTGAAAAAGTTATAACCAATTATATGGAGAATTAAACTAAATCCAATTTTGTAGGATGCATTAAATATTGATTAGATTTTATATGTAAAATAAAATAAAAAATAACTGAAATAGTTTTACCAAAATCTTCTTTTACGTGTTCCATACCAACAATTTAGCAAATACATGAATATTCCTAAATTAATATTACATACCCAATATTTTAGGAACTAATTAAATACTAATTTGATTTGCATACCAAAAATATTAAATGCATTAATTAAATGTTTGATAAAAATAGCAAATCATTAATTAAGGTTGACTATTCTACATACTACATTTAGTATATAGTATAGCTTTTAATATAAATATAGATGCTTCCCTACACACGGTGTGCACATGTTAATATGTTCGCCGCTTATATGGCATACACACATTGGTGATGTTAATATGTTCACAAAAATACACCACCAATGTGTACATGCCACATAAACGGTGAACATATTAACATGAGCCCACTGTGGATAGAGGAGCATTACTGTCTCTTTATATATATGTATTTAAAAATATTGTAATCTTATTATTACAATGAGATGAGATTTAATACACCATCTATTACTATATAATAGAGAGGGGGATTTACTTGAAATAGTTTTGAAATTTCTGCTTAAAATTTTTAAAGTTATTATTCTTAGTACTTCTTTTAAATGGCTGCATACAGAAAATTCGAATTCAAGTTCAAAATTTTTGTTATTTGAGAAAGATATTATGTAAATATCAATTCCTAAAAACATGGACAATTATTTTCTTTACTTGGAGATTCAAACTTACTTTTCTGGCACTATATATAAAATCACTTTCATATCCAACTAGTGCGTGACCCATGCGATGCACGAGAAAATAATATTACGTTTGTATATAAATTAAATATATAAATATATTAATCAAGATTCATCATTTTTAAATTAAACCGTGTTTGGTCACAGTGCGACCGGATGAACCGAGAATTTTGCTTGAATAAAATATTTGCTATCGAATTCGTCAACACCAGTCGATTGACTGGTAGGATCGATACGATTTTTTAAATAAATTTTGCTACATTTAAAATTATTTTAAATAAAATTACATATTTAAATAAAATAGAGATTTGTAAATTGTATATCAATTAGTTTAAACATTTGAAAATTTAAATTGTTTAGATATTTAAGTAACACATTTTATTTGAATTTATTACAAAAAGTACTATATATATATATATTAAAATATTTATAAATTAAAAATCTAAACAAACCACAAATGATTTAATAAAATAACTTGATCGTTTCGATGATGGTCCGGTTCTGAAAACCTTATATTTCCTGTACATTAATAAAAATTCTAATAAAATATTATTTTATTCACATAAATATTAATAAAATGATATAAATATCAATCATAGGGAAAGATCAATTTTTTTTAAAAGTAAAAACTAACACGAATTTACTTAACAAATAGTAAAAAATTAAAATTCAATTATTGAAAAGACTGCACGATTTTTCAATTGATTTGAAAAAGGAATCAAAATAAAATTAATGGTGAACATATTTTGGAATGAATTTGAATGGTATAACCCATTCAAAACTCAAATTTTAAAACTAATATGACACATGTTTTTGTAACATATTCTTATATAATTTGAATAAGACTTCAAACTAATTCCTAAATATAATTCATTTTTTAAAAAAAATTCTTAAAATAGTATGTAATAAATTCTTTCCTAAATTTTTGGATCACTATTTTTAGTAAATAGTAATTCTTTTTATATATATAGATATAGATATAGATATAGACATAGATATAGATTAGACATCCTTTTTTTAAAATAAAAAACCGGGCTATTTGGGAGGACTAAATTAATTTTTATTTCTTATCATTACAAAAATGAAAAAAAAAAAACCAAACATTTCACACAAAAGTCTAAAAAATATCCATATTTATTATACATGAGGTCATATACTTACAAAAATTTGAACCAATAATTGCATACAAAAATATGAACCAAAAGTAATTTATAATTTTTATACAATCTCATTGAATTTTACAAATCCTTTATAATTTATTTTTTAAAAAAAAAAAAAAGAAAAAAGAATAATTCACATAATTACTGGTGCAAGCAACATTGTTTTTTGCGGTTGTGTATAAATGGGTTGCGATAAAATATTATCAATTCAAACAATTTTTTAATACCATTTGAGAATATAACAAAATCTAATAGAACATCATCAAAGTTTTTCATATAGAAATCCCGTAAATTATTTAATTATTTCAAATATCCAGTAATATTTAGAATTGCTATTTAATTTAACAACTTCTATAATACCTTTGGACAGTCCATAAATGTACGAGACCAGATTTTGAAAACTCCAAATCGTATTAATTTTGTAAAATTACCTTTCAAGCAATATTATAATTTATTTCAATATTCAAGTATGGCCGAACCAAAATATAAATGTAATAAATATTTCGGATATTTTTCCCCAAAAAAAAAATTCATTTGTCATATTCATTTACTTAATTAAATCTCAAAATATATATATACCATGATTTGCTAATTAAATAGATGAATGTTATATGGACCAAACAACAATTAATAGAGCATACATGAATGATTTGGTGCAAGCTTTATAGGGGATAATATTTGTTTTTATGAACATTTCTTGGAAATATATCTCTCCCATATAACTAAATAATATATTCATGTTTATCCACATAATTCTTTGAATTCTAACCTATACGAATCATCTCCATTCAACCATTCTTTTCTATTTGTATATAATAGAGGGAAAGATTTATTTAAAATAGTATTAAAATTCACGTTTCAAATTTTCAAAGTTATTATTTTTAAATATTTTTTTTTAAATGGCGGCCAAATGAAAATTTGTATTCATTTTTTTTTTAAAAAAAGTAAATTTGGCCAATAATATTAAAGAATTTTAAAAATATTGCTTCCAAAAAATCCAATGAATCATTTCCTTAATTTTTTCGGTCAAACGTATAAATTTGATTATAAAAATTCGGTCAATTATTTAACGTGTAAAACGTTTGAAATTTTTTGAGATCTTTCAAAAAGTCAATGCCAACTTAATTGTTAACACAACTAAAAATTGTATTTATTTAATAAGGAATGTTAATTTATGAAATTAATTTTTATAATTCGGATTGTTCAACTTTATTGGTGATTTTTTATTTTTTTTGTCCATCTTACCTAACTACAAAAACTTTTCAAATTTAGAAAGAATATCATATTATGTGGATTCTAGGTACCTATTCCTTTGTACACATTCATTTTCGATCTCTTATTCAAATTACAAATTTTAATGTGAAGTTTAAATATCTCATATTTATTATATATATATATATATATATTATTTTATTTTTTAAAAGCATGACAGTCATATAATTAATTTTATCATATATTTATGCGTTAAAATGTTATTGGTTTGGTTGGAGATACTTATTATATTCAAATAAATAATATATAATTTTGCATATCTGACATTTCTTTTTCTTCCAGTAATGAGATGTTAAATATATATATTATGTTTAATATAAAATTTTAAAAAAGTTCTTAAGTAACAAGCTTATCCGTGTCTCGCACGTGACGTGCACTAGTTATTGCAGTTGTTAATAATATTATTCAAGGAAAATATATTTTTTATTATGTTTAATTTGATCTGATTTGGAAACATGTATATGCAAGCAAGTAATGCATATATTTAAAAAGTTTTCAAATAAGCTATGCAATTAACAGTAATGCCCTCCTACCCACGATAGACACATGTTAATATGCCCACCGCTTATGTGGCATGCACACATTGGTGATGTATTTTTTTAACATATTAACATCACCAATGTGTGCACGCCACATAAGCGGTGAGCATATTAAAATGTGTCAACCGTGAGTAGGAAAGCATTACTGTATGCATTAAATGTTCTCATATTTTTTTCCTACTATATCTAATATATACTTATTATCTTTATATATATATAGATAGAATATAGATTTTGAAAATCTTGAAACTTTATTACTATTATGAAATTTACATACACCATTGTTGAAACAAACAACAAAATTGCAATCTTCACTTGTCAAGTGTTCTCTATAAATACTGAACATCTTCTGTAAAGAAAAAAACCATACTAACAAGAAAAAAAATCATCATATACCCCTTAAGAAAATCATTCTACCTTTTATACAATATACATTTTTCTCTTTTGTCAAAATGGGTTCCATGGGACAAGAAACCACCATAACATTATGCTTCATTGCCCTCTTTTGCTTCCTCAACCAAGGTAACTAAACAAAATGTACATACTTTAAAGAGAAAAAATTTGAAAGATACACTTATTTTCCATAATTTTATTACAAACTCATATAAAACTCAAGATTTTCTTTGTCATCATCAATTTGTGCCATCTCCTAGGTTTATGCTCGGCTCAAACTTCACTATGCTCTGCAAAAACCTTCAAGATTGACGTGATCTCAATAGGAAAATCCGAATGGAAGGTTGACATAACAAACACGTGTGTATGCACGAGTTTGGGGCTGAAACTGTCTTGCCCTGATTTCAACCCCATAGTTGATGTCGACCCTTCGATTATTTCCAAGTATGACGACACCCACTGTTTGGTCAATGGTGGAAGTCCGTTGCACGGAGGCGAAACCTTTAGCTTCACTTATGTTGGCTATGATAAAGCCCATTTCACACTATTCGATTTTATGGTGGCTTGTTCCTAAATCTATGCACATGTATTTGCATGTGTGTGTTTGTGAGTTTGATTGTGTGGAATTGAATAAAAGTGCAAATAACAATGCGTTAATTCTCTTCTTGTGGCCTTTGGATGTGCTTGTCTTCAATAAGTATATACATATTGTTGGAAATTGATTTGCTTTATTTATTTTTTAATCTTTTTATACAGTAAGAATATTGTTCACTAAGGATAAATATAATTTATTTATTTTACACATACAATATCGATGTCAAATCACAATTTTTCAAATGATTAATGTGATATATGATATATGTAAAATTAATAAAAAATACAAAAGTTAGCAACTTTTAAAATACACTAGTATAACGCCCGTGTATTACACGGGTGCTTGCTAATTATTTCTTAAAATATAAAATTAAAAGTAGTTGAAAATTTAAATATCTTTTTATAAAAATATACATTATTATATATTTAGTATGACACTTTTTATTTGTGCAACTTACATGGTTATGTTATAATATTTTTTTAAACTTACAACATATAACTACATTAAACATAAATATATCAATTGAGAAATAACTTTATTTTTCTAATGAATTTTAATAAATTTCATTTTTTATTATTATAAAGATAAATATATTTTATTTATTTCATAAATACAATATGGATGTCAAATCGAAGATCATCAAAAGATGATTAATTTGAGATATTATATATATAAAACCGATAAGAAATACAAAAATTATCAACTTTTAAAATACATTTATAATTCAATAGCTAATTGAAGGAAACAAATCAAAAGTCATGGATATATTAGTCACTTAGTGCCTAAAATTACAAAGAAATAAAGGGTTATATTAGTACAAGTAATATTAAAATACCTAAGTTAGCTAAATAATATTTATGAAATGTCCAAACTAATTAAATTATTAATTATTAATATATCAATATTATTTGTCCAAACCTAATTACGAAGCATGATTTTTTGTCAAGTAAGATTTTGAAGCACCAGAAGCAGCCACATAGGCTCAGCGCATTCGAAAATAATATATAGGGAGGATTTACAATTCAATGGTTATAGGGGCGGACTTACATAGGGGCCCGTAGGGGCACGGGCCCCTATAACACTTTTTTAGTAATATAGTATATATATGCTATATGTAAAAATGTATTATTATATAGACATATAAAATACATGTTATTAATTATTATGTAAAGTTATTTTAATATAAAAAATAAAAATGAAATGTTTAAAATTATTTATTAACCTTCAATAGTATGTTATTTTATAAGTTGTGGAATATATGCTTATGCTATACTCAACTTATTGTTTATTTTAGTTTCTCTCCCAAAATACATAAAAAAACAAGTATTATACATAAATATATATAGTATATAGGATTGGTTCAAATGTGTCTATATTCTTAAAATGAGTATGTGAGACTCAATCTTAGCAATTAAAAAAATAAACAAGGTGTTTGGTCAATTTTTTTTTTAATAGTTAAATATTGATGTGACCGTTGATATCCGACGTTGACCATAATTGTGCCCTCGTTGTCTTTAGGGTCTGCGTCCGCCCCTATATAATACATATTATCGGAAATTGATTTGCTTTATTTATTTTTTAATCTTTTTATACAATAAGAATATTGTTAACTAAAGATAAATATAATTTATTTGTTTTATACATACAATATCGGTGTCAAATCATAGCTCTTCAAATGATTAATTTGATATATTATATATGTAAAACCATAAAAAAAAAACAAAAGTTATTTAAAATACACTAGTACAACGCACGTGTATTACACGGGTGCTTGCTAATTATTTCTTAAAACCTAAAATTAATGAGAAAAAGTAGTTGAAAATTTAAATATCTTTTATAAAAATATACATATTATTATATATTTAGTATGACACTTTTTATTTGTGCAACTTACATGTGTTATATTATAATAATTTTTTAAACTTACAACATATAAGTACATTAAACATAAATATATCAATTGATAAATAATTTTATTTTTCTAATGAATTTTAATAAATTTTATTTTTTATTATTAGAAAGATAAATATATTTTGGATGTCAAATCGAAGATCATCAAAAGATGATTAATTTGATATATTATATATATAAAAGTATAAAACCGATAAGAAATACAATAGTTATTAACTTTTAAAATACACTTGTAATTCAATAACTAATTGAAGGAAACAAATCAAAAGTCAGGGATATATTAGTCACTTAGTGCCTAAAATTACAAAGAAATAAAGGGTTATATTAGTACAAGTGATATTAAAAATACCTAAGTTAGCTAAATAATATTTATGGAATGTCCAAACTTAAATTATTAATTGTTAATATATCAATATTATTTGTCCAAACCTAATTACGAAGCATGATTTTTTGCCAAGTAGGATTTTGAAGCACCAGAAGCAGCCACGTAGGCTCAGCGCATTCGGAAATAATATATAGGGAGGATTTACAATTCAATGGTTATAATAAGAAATTATATTAAAATACAATTAATACATCTAAAATGATCATAAATTATCAACATATTTATGACAATTCGGACCTAATTATTTTTGAATTGGAATAAAATTAAAATATATCCAAGCCAAATAATGAAGCATGAAATTTCGACAACTAGGATCCTAAGCATGCGAGTCTGCCACTTAGGCACAATACATTCGAGAATTATATATAGGAGGATAAAACTAGACAATTTTTTTTTTCACAACAATGTTGGCTTTTCTTTGCAGTTTCTTTATCTTCGTTTCAAGTTTTCAACCGTAAATTTTACCATTTTTCTTTTTTGTTTTTTTAACAAATTGAAGTGTGAGGCGGCAACCTAATTGTTATGCGTTCTGTTGAAATGCAAGTTTTTACTATCAAATTCAAATGTCATACTTCTATTTATATTAATAAGAAAATATTTTTTAATATTATTCCCAATTCTACAAATTTTTTTTATGAAGTATCATTTCATTTATTTAATATATATTTATTTTGTCAAAATTAAATAGAATATTTAATCTATTCAGGAGTTAATAACAAACATTCCTCTTCTCCCCAAATCGTTGGCTCGTCTTCCCTCCTCTTCCTCTTCAGTTCGCCTTCCTCGATGAATTCGAGGCTTTGGCCAGTGGTCGCCCTCAGCGACTCACCCCCTCTCTCTGATGTAACGCGTCTCCCAAGGACCCACGATGGCAGTTGCTAGGATTCAAACGACCTTCCTTTTTCCAGGTCAGGTATCGCGGGTTTCGGTCACCAGCGTCCTGGAGTTTGAAAGACGTTGGGTGGTGTGTTGGTTAGAAGGTGGGGCGAGGCTCAGGCGGCTCGTGGCGCTTCGCGTAAGGGTGGTCGTAGGTCTGCCCTTCTCTCCCCTGTTCTCTTTTGTTGGGTTCAGGGGAGCCGACACGTCTGTACTCGGCTAGTGGTGTTAGCAGGGTGGGGCCCGTGGAGTTAGATGGTGAAGGAGTGTTCAGTTTCCTCCGGCTGGGGATGGTTCATTTTTGAGTTCGGTATTGGGCTTAGTTTCGGCTTCAGCTAAGCGCTTCGACAGTTTTGATTGCAGTTCCTGGGCCTTTGGATCTCTCTTTGAAATCGATTGTTCATCCGCTGGTTCGACTCAATATTTCTACTGTGGAAGGGCTCGTTTGTTTATTTATTATTTTATTGTTTTGTGTGGTTTTGATTTTGTTGTTTGTTTAGGTCTGGTTTTTTTGGTTTGAGTCGTTGACCCTTGTGGTGCCCGAGTGTGAGAGGGTATTATCATGATGGGATCATTTTGGTCTTCTCTTTGGGAGTTAATAGTTTTTTATTTATGTTTCGTGTTGTCGTGAGTTTATTCTTCTAGCGTTGCTAGGTTAGGCTCTAAGCGATCTTCGGATCTGTCATCCCCGTGTTTTCAGTCTTTGGTTGTATCTTTCAGCTTTTGGCTATTTTCTCATTGTAATTTGTGCGGGTTTTAGTTATATAAAATCCCTATCGTTTCTGAAAAAAAAAAACAATTATGAACATCATGGGCACTTAAAAGTTAAATATTTGTATCAAAATGAAGTAATGAAGAAATATATATTCTTACTAGTACGTAGCCCGTGAGATGCAAAAGTTAATAATTGCAATTGCGTACATTAAAGCAATGATGTAATCTTGATTAGTAAAAATAGTTTTGATTATTAATGATTATTTTTCTTGTATTTTATGATATATAATATTTAATATATGATATATATATATATATATATATATATATATATATTTAGAGAAGAGATCATATGAGAATGATACATAGTGAAAGAAATAAGAATAAATTTGGACCATGAGATTAACTATATTAATGATTATGATGAAGTCAAACTATGGTATATCATTAATGGCATGTTGGTAATTATTTGATCATCTTGTGGTCAAATATGTGTACTTGACCAATAATTAAGGGTAGTTTAGATATTTAATTCAAACCAACAAGGATGTGGGACCCACCACCACATACATTAATATCAATATAAATAATATTTATTTTTTACACCCACCTACCCATCCCATCGTCTTCTTCCCCCCACAAACACACACACGCACACACACATCACACAACACGCACACAGCAAGGGTGGACCACCCTCTCGCCGCCGCACTCTCCGTCGCACCAGCATCCGACATCCCTGAAGACCGTCGGGCACATCCACATCGTCCCTATCTCACTGTTAACAAGGCGCCATCTCGCCGGAGAAAATGTGCCGGATTTCCACCGCCGCCAATGGCCGTCATCGCCTCCTGCACATTCGTCGTATCGCCCAGGTCAACAACAGCCCGACACAGCTCCGCCGGAGATGACGTCTCAACCACAACCGCCCCCAAGAGCTCCGCCGGCGATGTCCCCTCCGCCATAACCGGACATCAGTAGTCCGACAAAGCTCCGTCGTCTCTCGAGCTTAGTCATATTCTGAAGAGAAGTCCGTCGTCGATCCAATGGTTGCCTTGAGGTGGTCGCGACCCGTAACGTCCGCCGGAATGGC